ATATTGGTGTGTGTGTGTAGGTGGGTGTGTGTATATTTAGTAAAAACTCCGAAAGTCTTGCAATTGTACAGAAAATTATAATTCAATTCGGCTTTGTGTAAACAAAGTCTTCTAAGGATTTCTTTATTAAAGAAACAGGTAAATTTCTTGAACTGAAACAACAACACATCTTAGAAATAACACAAAATATTTAAAATTTAAAAATATAAATCAAGATAGCAGTTAACACTGTTAAATTATATATAAATCATCAAACAAAGTTAAACACTATGTTCGAATAAAGGACGTGATAATACACTGTGTAGCATAGCTCTCAACGAATGATGTCCTATAAATAAATGCCGTAAATAAATAGTGTAATAACATTTCTTTGACGGGATTCGAACCTGCGACCTCTCGCTGTAAACGAGCGTCATAACCATTAAACAACAGAGGCTTCATGGTTGAACAGATTTAAATAATGTCAGATACACTCTATTACACAATAGGTAAGAGCGGAAAACAAATAATATAAATATATTTGTTTCCAGCCGGTTAATCATATCCATAATTTACACCAAACAAAATAAACGCCTCTCTTGAATAAACTCCCCTTACAATAGACGTTTATTAAAATAATTACGGTATGCTATTTTAAAAAGGAAATTAATTTTAATAAATTTGAAAAAAAACCCTAAAAATTAGTTTGATGCTGCTTGTCATACCGGTACGTAATAAGAAGATTGGTCATCAATGATAGTCTTATAATCAATCGTAATCTGTCCTACAATATTTGGCATAAATCTTTATATCATCAATTGTAATCTATCATCTACCATCATAAGTAACTATAAATTAATTGTCATAATCATCATCCGATGCATCATTAATTATCAATTGTTATCACTCCTCATCAATCATCATTTTGTCATCAATTGTCACGTGACATTCATTATTAGTCATAAATAATCAATCGATCAATCGGTTGACACCAAGTTATGTTAATGTCTGAAGTATATTGAGTTAGTTTCCACTATATTTTAAGAGCTTTTAATATGTTTAACTTTTACATGAATTAATAGCGATTTATTATTTTTTTTATATGAATAATAAACATTAGGCCTAATGATATCCCAGTTTTCATACCAGAAAAGATCAATCGTTTTTATATTGGTTATGCCTACATATCGCAACTCATGAAAACTTAACATATTGCCATAGAAATATGTCATAGAATATAAATAGATAACGTTACCATAACAAACTTATAATCATTAGGATAAAAATGTGAAATTGTAGTCCTATAACACTCAACGAAATCGGGATTGGAGATTGACGTTTGGGACATTCGATAATAATTGAGGGCGCAATTGCTAGTCACGCTTCGTTGATCAAACAGCGCATGTAGCAACATGTGTACAAACATGAAATAGTATAGAGCTTGTTATTTTATATTTAGTAAAGATTATCTTTATAATTTTCATCATGCAAGTGTCAAATGCAAACGATGTTAAAATTTACAATCTCAGTGTTGGTAAATCATTACCAGAGGTAAGGTTTTTGCTCAAATTATATGACTAATTTAAGCTAGGCCTAGCCTCCTAGACTAGACTTTTAAAGGGTATACTTGTTTGTGGCCTGTAGTAGCAGTGAAAACCTCATAATGTGGTGGTGGTGGTTTGTGTTAGACGATCGGACCCATATTGTGGGATAATGGGACCCCGGAATTTGAACGGGGGAGAGGACGATCTAACCTGATTTCATAACGTTCAGACCATGAAGGGTATACATTATATAAATAATTGTATACATCAATGACCAATTTTCTCGAATATGAATTGATCGAACCCAGTTTTTTGTTTTTTTTTGTTGGACGATCGGATCAGTGGGGAAAATGGACTGTCTGTAGTGCCCTCTGTCGGTTAGATTTATTTAATGTAATGTAATAATACAAACATGAAAACATAGAAAGGAAACCAACAAATGATGAAAAACATAAGATAAAACAAACATTTATTATGTCTGTGGTGACCCTCTACAGATTACAGTTACTTTTAAACCGGATTTATTTTCAGAGAGGTCCCAAGCTGCAAGCCTGCAATCTGTACTGTAGTAGTGTGGTGTAAAACAAAAGCACAATTTTTTACATACTATAAACCATAAATAAAAGTGTCTTTATCTTGACCATCATGAGGGATTTTATTCTACAACCCTAGGCAGGCTCTCAGCTCCTAACCTGTTCCCTCAGTCATTGAGATAGATCTGCTGAGTTTAAATGATTAATGTACTGTAATTCCTTTTTTCAGTGGCTTTCTGATAGAAAGAAAAGAGCTCTTTTGAAATCTGATGGAGGTACGCACAATTAATAGAATAGAACATTATATTATATGATTTATATAAATGCATTTTTTTGTCATTGTTTACAGATAATGAAATATTTACAGTATATTTAAAATATGTCCTGAGACTCATTGATGTTTGTAGTAAATTGCTGTAAATTTTTAAACTTTTTCACAAAAAAAATTATATTTCTTAGATTTAAGGAAACGTATTGAGTTGATACAGGACTTCACAATGCCGACAGTAAGTACAGGGATTCAGATGACACCAGATTCTCAGTATGTCATTGTAACCGGCACGTACAAACCGCGTGTGCGATGCTATGACATGGCACAACTTTCCATGAAATTTGAACGCTGCATGGATGCAGAAGGTAAGAAAGGAATTATCAAGAATAATAAAAAACAAGAACTGCGACTTAATGGATTAGTAAAGGCAAGCAGTTCATCATGTTGGGATCTGTGATGTAATATGCATAATTAATAAATAATAATAATAATAATAATAATAATAATAATAATACTAATAATAATAATAATAATAATAATAATAAAAATAATAATGTGACATTTACATAGCATTAATTTATTGTTTATCGATTCATTCTTTAATGTGTTATTGTTTTCAGTGATAAAATTTGTTACATTGTCTGAAGATTATTCTAAGGTAAGGTTTAATTAAAGTACTTGTTTGTGGCCTGTAGTAGCAGTGAAAACCTCATAATGTGGTGGTGGTGGTTTGTGTTAGACGATCGGACCCATATTGTGGGATAATGGGACCCCGGAATTTGAACGGGGGAGAGGACGATCTGACCTGATTTCATAACGTTCAGACCATGAAGGGTATACAATATATAAATAATTGTATACATCAATGACCAATTTTCTCGAATATGAATTGATCGAACCCAGTTTTTTGGTTTTTTTTTGTTGGACGATCGGATCAGTGGGGAAAATGGACTGTCTGTAGTGCCCTCTGTCAGTTAGATTTATTTAATGTAGTGTAATAATACAAACATGAAAACATAGAAAGGAAACCAAAAAATTATGAAAAACATAAGATAAAACAAACACTTGGTTAATTTACGTATTACCTACTGTACAGTAATCCTCGTGTCTTGGTTTTATTTCTTTTTTTTTTTAGATCTCTGGTTTTGTTTTGACCGAACAAAAATATTCACTTCCTATCCTAAGCTTCATTATAAGACTTAATTAAAGTTTACTAAACAATATACAGCCCCAAATTACTTCCTGTTGGAAATAAGTCACCTAAATGACAATGAATTAAATACTTGCATATCAAAGATGTCCAATTACTTGATTTGTATATTTGAGCAAGGTATGAGATTTCAATAAAAACAATAGACGACTACAAACTACTTGATTTTGACAAAATGTTTTTCACACAAAAATTTACAGATGCATTTATTAATAATAATGTTCCTATTTTCTTTGCATAGATCCATCTCTTACCATTATTGTTATTATTATTATTTATCTGTTGATTATTCATGTGTTTTTATTTTTATGCACTAGATGGTTTTCTTGCAATGCAATCGATATATAGAATTCCACGCCCGTTACGGCCGGTATCATCAACTACGTATTCCAAAGTTTGGACGAGACGTGGTGTACCATAAGCCATCTTGTGACCTATTTGTAGTAGGGGCAAGGTAATATAAGAATATACCTCTGTGTTTAATCAGCAATTTCTGTATGTTTGGTTAAATAGTGCACCTTACCAAAGCTTCTATGCACCATTTTATCCGGTCTATTTTGGACAGCGCCACCAACGTCTTGCAACTTTTCACTGGGGGACTTCCAGCGGCTTAGCCCGAGCAAATTTAATTTTTCCAGACACATATCTTCTTTTGAGTACTTGAACAACCAAAAATACTGCAGGTTTTATGCACCCCTATTTTTTTGTTTTTTGTTTGGCATTTTGTTTTTAAAGACTAGCCTAGACCTATACAACAACAAGGTCATACACCAGTCACAGAGCACAGATAAACATAGGTAACTACGTAGGGCGAAATACCTAGGCCTTGGGAAGTCCCCCAGTGGTAGTTGCGGTTATCGGAAATTTGAACAAATAAATAAAATATCCTATATAACTCTTACAATATTGCAGCTAGTTATCAGTACATCTGCATTTTTGGGACCTACCTACACAGGGACACAAGTGATATCTACAACCAGAGATTAAAAGATACAATCTTAAAGCTAAAATCCCTGATTCCTGTACCTAATGTATAAAAACCTGCTGACTGATTGATTCCCAGTTTGTCAGCATTCTTTCTGCTTTTTTTGTTTTATAATTTGGTGAAAGTACTGTGCAATACTTGCTAAAAATATCCATATCAAATTATTGTAATCATTTTAATGTTTATTTTTTGTATTGTCATTCATTTAAAGGTGTTATTTTTTTAATTACAAATTTGTATCATTAACAGCTCTGAGATTTTCCGTATCAACCTTGAACAAGGTCGCTTTTTAAGTTCCTGGGTCACAGAGGCTAGGTGAGTTTTTATTGGTGATGGCCATTTATCAAAACAGGTCCAATCCTCCCAATCACACACCTGCACAATTAACACTTGTATACATCTTTTTGGGACCCATATATATTTGTTTTTTATTCAATGTGCCCGTCTGTTCTCAGTTATAATATTTATAATTTTTTTTACACAGTGCAATTAATGCGTGTGCTGTCAATCCAGCCCATCACCTACTGTCGGTAGGAACAGCTGAAGGGCGAGTTGAATGTTGGGACCCTCGGGTGAGGCGTCGTGTCGGCATCTTAGACTGCGCCCTCAGCAGTATGACAGAGGATTCGGAGTAAGTTTATAATCATTTAGATCTGTAGTACTCAAACAAAATATGTGTTGCCATCCAAAAGTGAATTTTGTAGGGCCGCAAGGCATTGTGGAAAAGTTATAATCATGGATGGTATTGTAATACTAGCTGCATAAGACGTATGTGGTCAGTGGCATATCTATGAGTTATTGAAATGAAGGGGATGAGGGGTAGGGGTGAAGATTAAGTGGGTGGGCTCGATGTTTAACTGTTGGAATGTTAGCTGGCTAAATAAATCTGATAGGTAATTTTTAACTACTGGAGTGTATTTTTTTTTTTTTTTTGGTTAGAAAATTTCTAGTGGTGAAAATCTGGTAGGGGTTTAAGCTATTTTTTGTGGAGGGTGGGTGGGTGGAGGGGGAATGCTAACCGCCATATGTACACCACTGTATGTGGTATATCTGTGTATCTGTGGTATATGGTTATTACTATGGTAATGAAATGTGACAGCTTTTTATGCTTTTTGTAAGTGTTACCGCCACCTAGAGGCTGCGTGTAAAGTTGCTGTCTTGTAGTGTAATACATTAATATTTGTAACTGTTTATCACTCTAATTGTGTAACTTATTAAAGCCGGAATAGAATCACAATATCAGGCGTCTGTAAATATTATGTTGATACTTGATTAAATTATTTCAAGCTTATAAAAAACCGTATAATTATTTTATTTAATTTTCTTATAGTGTTAACCATATACCATCAGTTACTTGTCTTAAATTCCAAGATGCCTTGCACATGGCTGTAGGGACAAGCACAGGGCAAGTATTGATGTACGACATCAGGGCCACTAAACCATTATACATCAAAGACCATCAGTATGGACTGCCAATCAAATCTATCCACTTCCAAGATGCGATGGAGCTGGTGCTGTCTGCTGATAACAAGGTGGTTAAGATGTGGAATCGTAACACGGTAAACAGCCTGTTCATTTTTAAAAGCTAAGCCTCAACAGTAACATGTAGTTTCTTCAGTTCTCAGCATCTCTGTTTCTTTTGATACAAATTAATTTTTTTAAATAACTGAAGATATTTTTGCTGACATATTGTTTTTTGGTATACGTGACTTTAAACATTTCTTATAATCTTGCAGGGGAAACCTTTTACATCAATTGAAACAGAGCATAACATAAATGATATGTGTCTGGTCCCCAACTCTGGATTAGTTTTAATGGCCAATGAGGCCCCAACCATGCTCACCTATTTTGTACCAGTAAGTATGTTGTTATTAAATTTTTAATATAAAAATCAATTTTCTTGTATTATCAACCTCTGTTTGATACCGCTTCAGAGAATTAAGTTTTTTGTGTTGTCTAGCAACCTCAATGTTGTCAACAAAGTCTAATTTACGAACCAGCAGAATGAAAATAATACTCAACGAAATATCATTGTCAACAAAACGAACCAGTTGAATACAGCCATTGTTTTTTTGTGTATAGTCTTTAGGTCCAGCTCCTCGATGGTGTTCCTTCCTCGATAATCTGACAGAAGAACTTGAAGAAACTACCATGAATACTGTTTATGATGATTATAAATTTGTGACCCGAAATGACCTTGAAAATCTAGGTGAGAAATTCTTTATTTATTTATTGTTTATATTAAACATTGTAAATTGTATATACACACTAAATTTGGCCTATTAAATACTAATTGTTATTATATGTACCTGTATTGTAAATTCTCCATTTATTTTTGTAGTACAGTATTGTCTAACATTTTATATATTGTTTGACCTCTGAGAGTCAGGGTCAAATTATTCATCCGTATTTATATATTTTTTTTCTTCATTTAGGTTTGTCACATCTCATTGGTTCCAACCTTTTAAGGGCATACATGCATGGTTATTTTATGGATATACGATTATACCACAAAGCTCGTGCAATAGCGGATCCATTCGCCTACGAAGAATACAGACGCAACAAGATACGGGAAAAGATTGATGAGGCCCGCAAGAACAGAGTGCGAATAAATGTAAGCTTAAAGATTATGTTGATACACTGAGAAGCTGTTAAAGTCTGTTTGTAAATATAAATGATATTGTTCCCCTACCACTGGGAAACTGGCACTTACCACAATCTTTACACAGGGAGCTTTTTATTTTTTATGCATTGTGTTTTTAAGGGCCAATAGGCTTAATGTCGAGTTGATTGGCCGAGCGGTTAAGTCAGGGGCACCGTAACGGCTCACTCGCCAATGGTTCTGGTGGTGGAACAGGTTTTCTCGGATAAGGACTTTAAACCGTAGGCCCAGTGTACGCATTTGTCCCTTGTGCACTTTAAAGAACTCAGTACATCCTTCAAGAAGAGTAGGGATTACCCCGGTGTACAGTCCCCTGTTGTGTAATGGATATGCCACCTATGATAGCGATTAACTTCGCTGATTGGCATATCCTTGGCGCTCGTGCCTAAAGAAATGAAATGTCCCATAGACTCTTAATAAATGTATATAATAACAAGTAAATTGTGTTTCTTTTAGAAGGTTGTGTTATTAGTCACTGTTGGTTGTATTGTTATTATGAACATTGATATTATCTATATTAATTTAGTAATATCCTTGAAGTTCTGGTGCTAACATTTACACAAAACAAGTATGAATCACTGTTGGAACACTTACAGTTATCATTATTATCGTTTACAGAAATTACCTAAAGTAAACCGAGACATTGCAGCACGGATCCTTGACCAAGATGGCGTTGTTGCGAACAACAAGAAGGCCAAGGCTAAGGTAGGTTTATTGTTAAAAACTTCACAGATACACCTTTTTACAGTTTGCTATGGACTATGGTTAATGACCAGTGTTGCCACTTAGAAATCTGTTAGTTAATTGCTACTCTACTATCTAACTCACACAAAATAACATATCTTTACAGACAGTAAAGATATGTGCAATGCCACGAGTGGATGAAAGCTTTGCCTAGTGAGCATGTGCGCAGATTCTTGCTAAATATTTTGGGAGTGCTACAAATGTCTGCGATGTTTGCTTTTCTTAAGAAGATATTACACCAAAATTTTTAGTAGGGGATGCCTGCTAGCATAGCAGAGGAACATTTATGTCATGTGAAAAGTGTATTGTATAATTATATAACTCTATAATTTCCTTATTCAAAGATTGCGGCACAAAAGAATCTTTTATCTGATGATCGTTTCTCTGCGATGTTTAAAGACACAAACTACCAAGTAGATAAAGAAAGCGAGGAGTATAGACTGCTCAACCCTTTGCTGGCTCATCATGATAAGCAACGACTAAAGCGAGCAAGGAAGATGGAACTAGAACAACAGTTTCAGGAAGTCCAATCTCAAGTATGTATAATTATTATATACTATCATAATCAACATCATAATCATTATCATCATCATCAATATTCTCCACATCCTTATCTTCTGTACATTCATTGTCATCATCGTTGTTATCATTGTTATCATTATTCTTCTCATCCTTATCTTCAATACATCATCAACAATTCATAAACATCATCAGTATTCTTATCCTTATCTTCTCTACATTCATCATCATCATCATCATCATCATCATCATCATCATCATCATTTCTTCATCACCATTGTCATCATTATTCTCCTCATCCTTAACTTCTTTCATCTCATCAGCATCATCATTATCATCACCAACATCATCACAATTCTTATTATCTTTATTCACCTGTGATGATGTCATCATCATCGTTATAATTATTATCAACCTCATTTTCCTCCTTAACATCTTGCCATCATTCGTGCTGTTGTCATCAGCATAATTTTTTTCTTTAATGCGACTTCTTTTGGTACAGGAAGTTTTGAAAATGACCTAGTTTTGATAATGAACCTCTCCCTGTTTATCTAGGAGAAAGAAGGTCGACCAAGTGACGAGGAAGATGATTATGCAGACTCAAGTTCTGATGACGATGATCGAACCTGGCAGGAAGAAGTCCGTCAACAGCACAAGGCAATCCAAATGGAACGTAAAATGGCGGCCAAATCCACACCTCAACCTAAATTTTATGAGCTCAAACCTGGAGAGGAATTCCGTGTCAAAGGAGTTGATAAAGAAAGGAGAAAGAAGGCAAAGTAAGTGAAATAATTTGTAAAGAATTGTTTAAAAAAAAATAGCATGTGCTGGTGTGTATAGTACTGAAATTTTTGAAGGACTGCTATTCTTTGATGTTAATATTATTGACTGTTTTAAAATCCTGATGAATGAAAATTTAATAGAATGAATCATAAGCTGCCCATTGGTCCAGCTGAATCCCTACTCGGGGGCATAGACTGGTTTGTTTTGGCTGGGGGTGTTCGAGCGAAAAATGAGAATATGGAACTAAATCTCAGAATTTGGATCTAAGTCCATCAGTTTTAGTATTTTAATGCAATTGATGGGTGCACTAAGTGAGTGAACGCACCCCTGCACCCCAGCTTCTGCCCATGCTATTAGCACTGATGTCTTGGTCATCCTGGAACAGTGTTACTAACCTCCACATCTGAAGCATAATTTGCTAATTACGGCAAAGAAAATGTAGATAACTTTGTTTTCCATTCTTGTAATAATTTTTTATAGGACCAGTCTGGCAGACAGGATAAAGGAGGATGAAAGTCAAGGTATTGTCACCTCAACTGGGAATGCACTTGGTACTAGGCAAGTCACCTTCCACTTAAAAAAGGTAAGATAATTATATTATATCATACAATAATGAGCATAGCAGCAATTGAAACAAAATATTGCAAAATTAACCTATAGGTTTATCAGGCTTAGTGGCAGATTCAAGAGGGATTGGGGGAGGGGGGTCAGCCTTAACAAGGTTGATTGGAATCATTATGCAATAAACTTGTTTGTATGGCTGTAGTGTTTTAATTATAATCAATATATCATCTCATTCAGAAGGTAAACAATGTGTGACTCTAGTGTTTTAATTACGCCCTCTTTATCCTGCCATTCATTTCAGAAGTTAAACAAACAACGTAAACTCGATTCCGAAGCTCACCATGCAGAGAGAAGGAAAATTAGGCGGTCAGCAAGTGGTCTTGTCAGAAAAAAACGAACTGGTCGTAGGGGAGGAAACGGATGAATAATTTGAGAATAGTTGATAATGTTCATATAACAAATTCCAGAGCAAGTATATTGTAAGGGCAAATAAAAGCATAGAAACAGTGGTAAAGGAATGTTATTGCCTGGAAAAATATAAGGCAACAGGAGTTGGGCTTCACCTGCAGTCAGAGATACAGGAATTTGAAATGGAGAGGCCCAGACAGGAAGGTTTACAGATAGAGGGTCTCACCTCAACCATGGTTGGGGGCTGATGTAGGAATTTTATGTAATACCTGTAGATGGCTGGAAATCTCCCTCTCCCCACACTTTTTTTTTAATTTTTCAAAAGTTTGAACCCCCTTCTGACCTGCGATATGGTTGAGTCTGAAGTTTTACATTTTTTTATGTTGAATGTACTGTCACAAAAACCTTTTAAACTGTTTTATTGTATATTTTATGCCCAGCTGTACCATAGTTAGAATTTTCATGTTTCAAGAGTATCCTTAAGTGTCATTCTTTCTTTTTTATTCAACAACAAAAGAACATTTTAATCATACTAAAAACATCTTCCGAAATCGGCCCCACCACTTGTGTGAACTCTTTCCATATTTTGTTTTTATCCTGGATCAACTCCTAATTTTGTGGAGTTTATGGAAGTAGTGTATTCAATTCTATTAATGATACCAATTATTACAGATAGATTTAATTGTAATACAACCTACTCCAAATCCGTATAAATGATCTAAAGATGTACTGTATTGCCATGTAAATTTAATAAACTTAAAACATTACCCTTAAATTGGGTGCTTTTCAAGGTAAAATGTGTGTACCGGTAAATTGTTTTTATCTGCCATAATGCAAATTGATCTGATATGAACACTCTACAAAATTACAATTGTACTCTATGTACTCACTTTAATTCTTTCCAAGGATTATATTTCAACAATTTCATAAATGTACAGAAAGAACAGTGATAATGCACTAATTCATAAGACATGATGGAAGATTTATACAAGCTTATTTTACATAATTAATATTCATGAGTGGTTAAGAATAATACTATTAATAATAAGAGAGCTTTACAACACGCCAATTCAAAAGATTGTTAAAGGCGCCAAGAAAAAAATAACCCGGACTCAAATACTTTGAGATAATGTTTGAATAAAACATGTTTAATTTCTAGGCCCTGGAGTCATCCTTAATTGTTGGTAACGTAAACATCCTCACTAAATTGTAACTACATGATTGTAACTACATGAACACTTACTCAGTAATATGGTGGTCCTATTTATATTATACATTTCAACTATAATAGAAATATCTGGAGTGTCAATCAAAAACTTAACAAACAATCAGAACAGGCCCATGAATATGCGCTTGTCCTACCAACATTTACGCTACTATTTTTACCTAAGCAACAATATCCAAGGATTGGGGCTTAGCAGAAAGCCCAACTGTCTAATATTTATTAAATGCACAAGCAACATTCTACTTTTATAGAGTTGCACAATCAACTAAATAAATGTCAAGTGTTCCCACATAAATTATAAGGTCAGAAAACACAAACTTTTTTAAATACATAATTATATCTACATTTATATTCTATACTTATATTGAGTAATTAGTTTCATTAACCGATTGAATAACTGTATCAGCATTTTAGCACAACTGGGATATAACCTCAAACTGAGCATGCCCAGGTTGCATAGTATATGCATGACTGCACACATACTGATACTATGCAGGATACAAGATGCACTAAAGCATAATGCATATGTTGTAGCAAAATTGTAACTACAGTTCGGGTTAAAATTTTTAGATAATTGTTTGGTCATGCGAACCCATAATCACAGGAGCTACACAGGCGTTAATGTAGCTTCCTTTAGTGAATAATTGCAAATAATGGATTCTAGTTGCTGTTATCAGTTGTCTGGAACACTTGTAATGGTCACCAGCGAGCAGGTTAACAGCATGTCAGGTGATAATTTTAGGCTTTACAACTTAATTTTTCAAAATGTTCACTTGCGACTTTGTCAGGATTTGCGGAAATGACTCAGACTGAGAATGCTTAGGTTGCACAGTTTATGCATGACTGCATACATACTCATACTGTGCAGAGTACAAGGTGAAAGCTTAATGCCTAATTATGTTGTAACAAAATTGTAAATTCAGATTGGGTTAAAATTATCATATGATAATTTTAGGCCTTAATTTTTTGAAATATTCACTTGCAATTTTGTCTGGTTTTGTGGATACAATACAGTATTTAGTAACAACATTTAATTATATATTATTCTGTTTTGAATAAAAAGGGGTTTACATATTGTGTAACTATTAAATTGCTGATTACAATAATTTTAAAAAACTTGAAAGAGTTGACAACTCTGATTCTTGCACTATAATCATATTCCTCTTTGAATTCACATTTAGAAAAAAAATAATTAAGAAAAGATACAAAATTTAAATATAAATTAACAATAATAATTCCCTTTTAAAACTCGCAGAAAATTAACAAAAATATATACACTTTTAATGTAAATATAACAAAATAATTTCAAAAATTATTGCAAGGGACCCAGATTAAGTTTATTTCTGTTTATTAAAAATGGATTTCCTTTATTTATTTTATGAAGAGTAATCAAAACATTAAAATAAAAATTATATATTTACAGAACACCTTGGTGTGTCTTAGGCTGCTTGCTCAGTGGTTTTTCAATCCCAGGATTATAACACCCAATACAAACACACCAGAGTTTTAACCCGAGTTGCTACCAGTGGTGTCAAAAACTTGGTGGATGCCCTGATAAACTGGGCCCTTTTAAGCTGTTTTGCCCAAAAAATAAGCCCAGCCCAACTTGCTTAATCACTAGTTGCTTAAATTATTTATATTTGCTGTGATTTGGCCCATTCCCTTGGAATTTAAGAATGAGCACATACTCCAATCCACCATACCATTCTATAATACAAAAGTTACTGGAAAACTTTTTTTCAAGGTATTGATTTTAAAATCTGTTTCAACAATTTTAAAAATATTCTACATGCTTTACATTTGAAGGCTGATGGTAAAAAAAAAAAATGTTTATGAAAGCATGGATCTGACCCTGCTTCTTGCATCATGTAACTACAGTAGATAAAAGTACAATTTAAATATTTGACTTATACCACGCAAGATTAAAATCGTCCTTCCTGAAGGATCGGAGCCTAAAGTACATTTATACCTAATTATTTAATGCCACTCTTGGTGTTGGTTTGTAATAGAAGAAAAAAAGAGTTAACATATAGTAAAACTTTGTCAGTGTATTCACATTGCAAGATTTGAATTATTTAAGCTGGGCACTCACTCTGTCGTATGTCTGTCGAATCCAACTTTGTTCCTTGTGAGTGTTAAACGATGCTGTATGCTGATTGTTGGCGGCAATTTGAATGGATCGTGATTAATTACTACCCGTTTTGGGCGCGCAGTAGCGTTGCACCCTCCAACGCTACAGTATTGTTCCCAGCTTAGTTTTTTACTCTGTTAAAGGCATGCATGTTCCTAGTGTAAAACCTCCTTAATAGCCTACTTGGCTATTCCAACCCTAATGTAGTAGTGTATGACAACTGGAAGGGTAGAAATCAGGCATTATTGTCCTAAATAACTATTGTCTTTGGGGCTAACTGCCTATTTAGTCCTAAAAAAATTTTTTTCATAATGTAAATAATTGTCCAATAATTGCCTAATGTAATGATGATGAAAAGAATAATAAAAAAAAATCTAAGCGCACCATTTAAAAAAGTATAGATTTGCTGCTATATTCCTGCCATCAAATTTATAATTTTTCATATTAAACTTGTTGAAAAAAAATTTAAATTTTTTATTTCATTTTTTTTTTTGTATGGCAGTACAGTATATTTTTTATTGACTGATTCATGTGTGTTATGGTGTTATGGTAATAGCACTTGGAATCAACACGAGTGACATTAAATGATTCCTGTTCAAATTTTGACCTGCTGACAACAGCAGCACTGAAGAGGTAATGGGGATTTCCCTAATTAAACCAAAGGAAATTACTTAACATAAAAATGACATAAGTACCATCAATGGAATGAATTAAACTTGACACACATTTTTAGAATGCATTATTTTATAAAATATTTTACTATTTATATGAAAGAAATTATATGTAGTAACAAAAATAGAAACATAACAATTGCTATATATTTTTTGCAGAGAAAATATTACAAAACATAATCATAGAGTTATAATACCTTTTCATGAAAAATCATACAATAATAGGAAATTTTCATGTTACCATGGCAATAAACATTTATTGCTATGATACCATAAACATTACTGTGAATAAGCACTACTCTCTTGAATAGGCCAAATGCTTTGGAAAATTGTAGATAGCATGTGGTAGAAATTTGAGCAAGATTTCGACTCAAATATTTACACCCAAAGAATTGCTTCTTTAAATAAGCCCTTCACTCAAATGTGATGCAACGCTTATTTAATTGTTTATGGTATCCATAATCACACGTTTTGACATGATATATTTTTATATGATCATATTAAATGAAAGATTATTTTTGATGCATGCCTAATTATTATGAAGTGTAATATACAATATAAGGCCTAGAATTCCAAATACTACGATTAAGATTACGAAAATACAGCACATTTTTTTCCTGGCTTTTTTCTGCAATAAAAGAGAAGGAAAATTTGTTAAGAATAATAAAATTCAATATGCTATTAATGCACTATACAATATGGTATTATTGCACTATACAATATATCACTTTTCTGCTGTGTTCACTGAATGAAGGTGCTGTAAATGGTGTTTTCTGATAACCTTGTGGTCTGTAGTTTTGTGTGCGGTGTTTCTTTTCTGGTAGCTTTTAGGTTCACTGTAATTTTGGGTGTTAAATCAAAACAAACTTAGGCTCTCGCACCTATTTTTATGCCCACGCCTGCTGCAGTGTAAGGGACATATTACTGATGTTGAATAATGTATTCCAAAAACACTGTCAGAAATGGTTTGCTAATGCAAATATTAAATTTTCACGAAGAATTAGGTCAGGCCTTGATGTATAAGCATAGAGCAAAGAAACTGCTTCTTTGGTCTATGGTATCAGAGGTCAGATTAGGGATGTAATGCTAGCAGGACGCACTCTGATTTTTAGCCTATAGATCAAAAAGGCTTTACAAAGGAATCATACTGACTTTTCTCCTGCCATTTTTCACATTTATTATTGGGACATGTCTATTGTAAGAAATGTAAGTCAACATAAATTAACATACTACATACCTGATATCGACTTGCTGTAACTAGTTGTTCATTCCCAGACTCTATGTTGGTATCAGCACGATCAACATTTGCTTCTATGGAGTCTAATTGAAGAACAAGATGGAGAGTTATTTATTGGTTCCAATAATAGTATATAACAATAATAACTTATTATTTTTCATTTTTAAACATATTAATAAGAAAAGCATTAAAATGTTTTTTTTTTACATAATTAATAAATTGGTTTAGATTCTTCAAAAATATGCAGAGAAATTATCTTACCAATCATTTCTCCCTGCTCAGATACCATAGCACTTAAGTCTCGAAATATTTCATTAACATCAAGCATTGCACCCTGGGAAATAAACAATAACAATAACATTATTTAAAATCATATATCTGTGACAGATAATCAGCTGGTTTTGTTATGGATTGTGTACATTGTGCAAATTTAAAATTCTGCAGTGTACAATGAAAGGTAGATGAAGACAACTAACCAGTGTTGAAATGCATATGAGTGTGGTCACTGACATAGCTGCCAAAGAGGGTGTTCGGTGGGCGCATGCTTCCACGACGGGCTAAATGGAACTCGAGCACCGTGGTAATCCTTTGCTTTTCCAAAAGATCCACTGGGTTGTTTTTTTTTAAGTGCTCATGAGCCAAATATGTACACAGGGCTTATGCTTTTGAGTTCTTAAAAAAGAATACATGTTTTATAAGTTAGGCTAGGTCAATTCAGCAAGCTACACAGGGGCTACACCCCACCTTCCCTGCCCTCGGCCTATATAAATTAATAGTCTGGTCAAGATGCCCTGCATGAGCATCAAGTGGCTTATCAACTCTTGCCCTGCCTGTCGGGGGCGTTGCCCTGCCGTCGGGGGAATACTAGCGCCACCACTGAAGCTGTTCTTCCTCCACTTTAGCAAAATGAACTAGGTTTTGACCATATGGATGACCATACTGTATATGAGCATGATGATTTTTACACCTATATATGGTTAAATCACATGTATTTATCACATAAAACTTTTAAGGGGTAACTCAGAAAGCCTGTTTAGCGGCACCCTCTTTCTCCCCACCCTAAATTTGCCCTGTCGACAAATTGTTTACATATCAGGATGAACTCTTTAATATGAGCCACCCAATGAATCAATAGCTGGCAGGTGGCAGCAGAGTATTAAATAATAACATTGACAGTAGTTTTGTTTTACATACTTCAATTTGTCGGATGCGCTCTTCTCTATCTTCAATTAATGCATTATCAAAATCTATAACAGCCTCATGTTGCTGTAGCTGTGAGAACTGTTCCTGGCGCTGATTGTCCGCAATTAATGAGGAATGCTCATTTGAATAATCTTCGGGCTGAAACAAATAAGAAAATAAAATAAATATCAAATAAACACTTGATAATTACATGAAATTTGAGCTTTATATACATTTTTAAAGAACATTATTTGTAAATTAAAATGGAATATAATACAGTATACAGTACTATAAACAATGAATGTTCATCATAATTATTTTTATCAATAAATAAAAAACCAATAAATTGAAAAAAAAAAAACCAATATAGCATAAACTTACATTTACAATGTGCCTTTGATCGTGTATTGAATTGCCTTATAAATAATTTTAATAAACGTTTTTTTTTAATAAACGTTTTAAACTCCTTCAAATTATGTAGTTGTAGTATTTAAAAAAAATATTTTCAATTCCTAATTTGACTTTCAATAATTCACAATTTGACTTATTCAAGCAATGCGCCTACAGTAGCTACAATAATTTTTTTTTTTTATAATATGCAATGTTTATGTTATTTTTTAATTAAAAATCATGTTTCTCAACTTGTTTTTGACCAAATAGTATATGAAATTATAAGATAAAGGGTACTTTAACTTACAATGTGAGGTTTTGGAACAGTTGGACAGGATTTCATTTTAGCCATCACTTTCTGTGTAGAAAAAAGGCAAAACAATTCATAATATTGCAAAAAAAAACTTAAAAATTATGTATATAATATCACTCCTAAACATACTTTAATCTCAATTCTTTAAACAAATTCATTTGGAAAGATGATAAACTGTTAGTATATTATTCTTTTTTTTTAATTCCTAAATATACTACACTTGTGGTCTGATGAAACCCCTAGGATAGTTTGAATCACAAACATTTGTGCTACTAGATCAGATTTTTATTAAATAATTTCTTATCGAAAAAACTAAGGTTTGTGAGTACAGTACTTTGTACCTTTTGAACTTCTCCATATCTTTTCACTGTTTCTTGTAAATCATTTGTGAGCCTTTCGCACTGTAATCGTTCAGGCTGGAAAAATTAATTAAAACAAATGTTAATGCAAGAAAATGTCATAAGAACCTGGCATGGGTTGTTATATTTTACACCCTACACATAGAGTTTCTGATTTCTAATATTAAAATTAAATCTATTTTTGCAGGGTAGGGTAAAAATACATTTTATTTTAAAAGATACTTTTCTAAGTTTTATGTAAAAAAAAAAAAAAAAATCAGTATTACAGTATATCACGGTTTTCTTTTGGGCAGTTGAAAATTGGATTGTTTGGTGTTACCATACCCTTAATGCTTTTCCCTGTAGTTTATGTATTATTAATTGGGACTTTGAGAGGCAAAAGGTTACCAAGAAAATCCCTGACAGCTGTAGATTGTATCCAAAGGGTCTAAAGTTGGATGGAAGCCACTCCCAGGAAATCTGGTGAAATGAGCTTTAAAAACAAACCTACTGTAACTTTAATTTGCCATGGTTTGCTGGAAACAATTGTAAAAATAATGAATTTTCTGTGAACTTTTTTGAGAGAGCGCGGGAGGCCTTCTCAATTTCTGGAAGACTTTTGTGACTTCAGGGAGACTTGGGAACCCTGACATGCAACTAGGCCTAAGTCAAGGGACTTAACCTTAAACTATGCAGCTATAGCGCCTTCGCCCTAACTGCTGGCAATTGATAAAGGTTGAAAGGTTATTCATTTATACGGCGCAAAATATGAGTCTCTCTATGCGCAGAACAAGTGAGCAGATGTAACTGAAAAAAAAAAAAAAAAATCCAAGCCAGCACCCAAACCGCAGTATGGGGATACGCCCTCGTCGCCGAGCAGGGATCTATGATGATCATTGTCTTGATATCAATACTCTAGGTTTATGATACTTGTTACTATTTTCTTTATTACATGATAGTAACATTGGTATGGAGAAAAACATCCATAAGTAATAATGTCCCCATCAGGATTCAAACCAAAGCCCTCTGATTACCATTTGGATGCTCAACTAAGTTGCCTTGAAATTGCTTCTACAATAAACAATGAAGCTCTTTGTTTGAATTCACCAATGATTACTAAAGATAATCAGAACAATAACATGCAAGAATAAAGCATCGATAATTCAATCTACACTTAAAACAAACAAAACATTTTATGAATTGGTTATAAAATGTTGTTATTAATTTAACAAAAATAAGCACTAAACTAAACTAAATAAATAAAATTGATTATAATTATGACAGCGAGGAGAAGGTACAATAGATGTAAGACGGTTGCCACTTCTCCTCAGGTATAAGGTAGTTGGTTTCCCCCTCCTCGGTATCTAATTCTTCACATTAGTTTTTCCAAACAATTTCTGAGGTTGTGATTTACTTCAAATCAAGATGGATGGATCTATGTGGTGAAAACACCAGACAACCCAAGAAGTCTAAAAAAGACTTGGGGGGGGGGGGGGGGGGGGGGTCCTTCTGTGGTGATTGGGCAGTACGCCGGGAGACAATCCCCTACTCTTTTCCGAAGAGTGACTGCGTTTTTTAACATGCACATGGGCCATAATGCACACGGGACTAACGGCTTGAATGTCTCAACCACAGTGCACAATCGTAACTTGCATTTCAGCCCTCCAGGTGAAACACAAAAGAGGCAGCGATGGGAATTGAACCAGGAACCTAGAGATGTCCATGGTTTAGCATACATACACACAGTGGCTACCACCAGTTTAGCCGACTGAGCTAAGCTGCTCTTACAGATAGGATAAAATATAATTAGGCAAACACATTTATTATCACCAATGAATAACAGATTTGTTATGACCATATGACCAAATATCAATGGTCAACATGCAACACCAGTAAACACTGCAATAGTTTCAACTAAGCAGAACTGAAAGCGAAATTAATTTCATAAATAAAATGAATTATGAAAAATGAAAAATTGAAAGTACCTTAGAATCCTTTATTGAAGAAGGGGAGAAAGAAATGAAATATCATTTAAATGATATCAAACAAATAATCAATATATTAATTTTACATGTATGGTGACTACATAACAGTGACCACATTAAGATGATATTGATAACAATGATGGTGGTAATAATGATACTAATAACAATAATTTTCTTTTTCGTAATTATTTGAATAAATGCCCCAGGGAATTTCTTGTTGAGAACAGTTTTTGAAGGGGTGTTTTCAAGGGAGGCATTTATTTGAGGTAGGCATTGACATTTTTGGTGTAAAATGATAAGTAATACACTCCAATAAATGCTGTAAATGTAGAACAACACAAAAATTAAATCAAAATGTGTTATTGCATGGGGAGGATTCAAAGCAGCCTTGCATGGGGAGGATTCAAAGCAGCCTTCACATGGCCCTCTCTACAAGTAACTCTAACATCTGTGTGAAACTAATGCTTTATACCTGCAATTGTAAATCGATAGTATGATTTACAATGCATACCTGAGAAGAAGATTGCGTGATCATAGAGATTTAACGATCCCAACCAGGTTAGAAAATGTAATTCTACTGAAGAACAACATTAATAGAACATGTTGAGAATGATGTTGCTTCCATTAGATTTGCAGTCATTTAGAGAGGCATTTATTCAAGGGAAAAATTTACGCCTCGGGGCACTTACACAACAGAGGCGTTTATTCCAATTGAGGCTTTAGGGGGGGGGGTGTATATTCAAAATGGGTAGTTTATTCAAATAAATACGGTATTATAATTTGTAAGATCATCAGATAATACCACAGCTTGATCCAACCAGTAAGGGTCATATTAATTTCATATCCATTTTAAATTTCTTGTGTTTATGTGAAATTTGAGTGTACCAACCTTTTTTTGGTAGATTTAACTAAATAAACCATATCCATAAAATATGTTTGATTTTGATTGTAAATAAGGGATCAATTCAGAATTTTACAATGCCTACCCTTATGTAACTTTGCTATTAATGTTTACCATAATGTTTATAATGTGTAATTAATAAAAATTTACCCGTGTTGCTGTGTATGCTAATTGCTTCAGTTGGCTCAAGTTCCTTGTTGTAATTGTCACAATGCTCTTGGTAGACTGCAGAGTATTTTGTCTGCAATAAACATATAACAATAAATATATAAATAAAAATAAGTAAAAATTACAAAGTCCATAATATCATAATGATCATTTTAATATTATTTATTTTATAATTGAAAAATTACAATTACAAAATAGCAAAAATATCAACAAACATTTATAAGAACTTAACCAAAAGAATACTTTCTTAGAATGTGCTTGCAGAGAGGGCCATGTGAAGGCTGCTTTGAATCCTCCCCATGCAAGACTGCTTTGAATCCTCCCCATGCAATAACACATCTAGTGCTTAGAGACTTTTTGTATTTTGCGCTCTATAAATTAATAACCATTAACCATTAAAATCCTATGATTCCATTAACAGTGAAGTACAAAGATTGTGGTATTAATTTAATATTTACTCTTTTTATATAATTGTTGATTATTATTAGTGACAATTTATCATTTTAGATAACAATATAATTTAAAATTAAAAGGCATAAAAATTAAAGCAACAATAAGCAAGTTAACAGGGTTGAATTAACAGGTTTCATTCATTCATTCTTGATGATGATATAATTAATGTTGAAATATTGAATCCAGACACGATGGCGTGCATTTCGATACTTGGAGTATGTATTATGCTATCTTATCTGAGATTAATCAGTGGACCTTTCAGTTTAACATGGTTGTAGCTGTAGAAAACTAAGGGTGGGTGAAAGACATAAGGAGGGGTAGGTGATAACATTGTTAAACTCTAAAAAGTAATGGTTTAAGGATGGTCAAGAAAGTTAATAAAAGTGGGTGGAGGGCCATAAAATTAGCTTCAGACAGGGTGGAAAACTTCAAGGCTGCGTGGACCGGCCCACCAAAACTTTATCCCCTGAGTTAAATAATATTTCTTACATGCGATCCCGGACAGTCATGGAATCTTCCGGAGTTCCAATTTGACGGACAGCTTTCTCAAGCTGCGAAACTAACAATAATATGACAACATTTTCAATTAATGCTTTGATACAATATAAAAATATAAACTTATAAACAGCATTGAATAAAAAAAGATTAGATGTTGCTTTTACAAAAAAGAAATTACCATCCTTACAATATCACAGCTAACTGAAATTTTTTGAAGATCAAATATAATTTTACATTACTATATTAGAAAAACACATGTAATGATAGGTAAACACATCTATTCCACAACCTAATAAATACATTATTAATTATACTATATTTAAATGTCATAATTGTAATATTATATTTGCTATTATTATTATTATTATTATCTGTTTTAAAATGTATTATTCTAGCTTCTCACTACTATTACAATACAATGCAACATTAAGAATTAAACATAAACTAAGAGAAAAAAAATACAGTAGGCTTATGCCAGCAATCTATAAGTAAGCCAACAGTTAACAAGTCAATTTTAAAGATAAATTTCAAATATCCTATTTTGTGTTGCATCTAAAGATACCAGCAGAGCAATTTCCCCCACCCCACCCTCTCCCCCCAAAAATATAAAGAACAGAATGAATTTTGTATTTATTTAAATGGTATTTTAAAAGTTTTTAGTGGTTCTGGTTTGATTGCATATTTTTTTCCTATGGTAGCAGATAAAAACCTGCTGATGGCCAATACTGTATTATCAAGATGATCTATATATTTTGCTGCCATAATTTTAAACCATATCCCAAAATAACTATTGAAATATGCTGGTATGGGACATATGGCAGTATATAGTTTGCTAGATTGTTAGTTGAACCATCAAATTTCAGTGTACAGTTCTTTGTCTTTGTTAGTATAAATTGCCAGTATCTTTTTTTAATGCATGCGCCAAAATGTACAGCAAATACATTTTCTCAAAGCACCATACTGTATAAACCATTGAGATATTTAATACGGATGGGTGATAATTTTTAATTCCGTAAATATTCGAATAAATGCCCTGGGGTGCTTATTATTGAGAAGGGATTTTGAGGAAGTGTTTATTTGAGGGAAGCATTTATTTTTTCTGGTGTAAAATGGATATGTATATACTCCAATAAATGCCCCTTAATTTCACTGTAAATGTGGAACTACAACACATAGTTGTGTGATAATAAAGACTCACTGATCCACACCAGGTTAGAATAAACGTAAATCCACTGGAGTAAAGCATATTTGTTTAAATTCATTTTAGGGGGAATTTATTCGAGGGGGCGTTTGTTCAAATTAATACGATAATAGCACAACTGAGTGATACTTTGGAGTTTTCAATGTAAACATAAACAATTGGACTACTGTAAACATTGAGTATTATTTAAAGGAAAGCACCTAAACAAATGACTGACTTAAATTAGATATTCATATTTGCATAAATTATGGGTCAAATGCCAATTCTTTAATGCATATAAACAGTGTCCTGTTCAAATTCTAACTTACCACTATTATTTATTTTGAAAATTCCATCACTGACTTGCTTTACAACCGATGAAAATTCATTTCCACCTAAGTGAAAGAAAGATGAATGAAATTTTATTAAAAGTTCACTTACAGTATCAAATTTATCTTTAAATACACATTGACAATCCTAATCAGCTGTACATACAATTAAGTTGTTGTGATAAATGTTACGTATGTTATGCACACCCTCTATGTGAAAATCATGAAATAGAGCACCCTCTATGTTATTTTTTCAAAATTGTAGTGGTGGAACTGCTACTGTTTACCATCGTCAGTCGATATAGCTTCGTTAAAAGGAATTATATGGCCTATTTCCACTTTTAATGACAAGTTCATTTAATTTTTATGAAATTTAGGGTATAATCCGCCTATCTATTTTATCTTTTATGAAATATTTATGATGTGTGAGGTAATACAACGTAGGCGTGAGATGCAAAAAGCGGATGCTCATGCGTAAGACTCACGCATTACATGCAAGATTTGGCAGGTGAACATATATATGTGTGTTATAGTTTACTATCTTATATGACATTATCATGTCCATATATGGATATGATGACTTCATCATTTTTATAGCTTATGTGAATGATAATTACTACAGGTGCTATATTTGTCACATCATCATGGTGTAGTATTTGTTTCTTATTTAAAAGCTGTTGCAAGATATTATGTTTGTTCAAGGTATTTAATAAGCTAATTAGCTAATTAAGTTTTTTTAAATTTTTATTTTTAATTATTCCAGTATACTATACAAAACCGCAACCAATGGCTGAAAACATTCGTTCACTAAAAATCGGTAGAAATATAAAAATAGAAACTAAGGTACAGAAAATATATATAAAATACAAATATTAGGCTTATCAAAAATACTTAAAAACATTGAAATTGTAAAAATATTAATTTCTTATAAAAAAAAATAGAAAATGCAATTAATAATTAAATATTATACAAATGCAGAAAGTACAATATAGTATAAGTAATGAAAATGAATTTCCAAAATTAAGCATATTAAAATAAAGTAAATAGACGATTTAATAATTAAAATATTATATAAAATGCAAAAAGTGCAATAAATTATAGTATAAATAATGAAAATGAATTTATAATAAAATAAGCACTAAAATAAAGTAATACATGATTTACTCACCATCATCCCTAAATTGATTCCTATTTCCACCAAGAGCACCATACCCAAATTCCCCTTGTCTTGACATCTTGCAATAAACTCCTAGAGAAAATAGTAAATGTCCCAAAACATCTATGAAATTAAATTATACTGGTACCTCAATAACCAATACAAATGAATGAATACTTCAATATAAACAGCAATCATATTAAAACTGTTTACCAGGGTTCTAGCTGTGAAAAACTAAGGGTGGGTAAGGGTGGGTAAAGTGATAATAAAATAATAAGAGTGAATTTTTAAGGATGGGCAGGGGGGGGGGGTTAAAGAAAGGGGGGTGGAGGGCCATGAAATTGGCTTTAGACTGATGGAAAACTTCAAGGCTGGGTGGCCCCGCCCACCATGACTACATCCCTTGTTTATAACCCTATCCATACAATGAAATTTTATGTGACAAAAAAAAAAATGGTATGCCCATATTTGGGTGGAATATGATATCATTATGTCCATATGGGCACATCACATACATTTGTCACATACAATGTGTCAGTGTGGACAAAGCTGTAAGAACTTTAGCATCATTCAAAACATGTCCTGATATGAAACAATGGTAGCATATTAAAATAAACAAGAGCGACCGCTCATAGGTCTACGCGTTCCTCCACGCTTAAATACGGTACATGCGCATGTTTGTGTTTTTATTGAAGAGCTAAAAAGATAAAGATTGTTAGATAAATTAGAATGTTTATTTGTACAAAAAAAAAATATTATTTAGAATGTTCATTTGTACAAAATTAAAATATCTTACAAAAATTCTTCAAATTAGAAACCTTAAGTTTTTAGAACACATCCATAACCGAGAGCGCCATCCATGCGACGTGCCCAATTAGTGGTAATGCCAGTAATGTATAGTCCTTATAAAATTAAATAAATATGAATATAAATATTGTGGATACCTCTCATCAGTATTGATGGTAACATCAGGTCTGATATACCAAGATATACAAAAAAACAAAAAAAAAAACAACAAAATAAACAAAAAAATAAACCAGTGAGGCCTTCAGCGCTTTACGCGGACCCAATAATAACATGTGGATATTAATTCATGTTTACACTGGATTAAATCTGACCACGTGACAGCAAAGGAAAAATTTTCTGTTTTTGATCTTAGATTTAAGTACCATCGTTAGTCTTAGTCATTCTTTTATCATGACTAATAATCTACTTTTCACGAAAAGTGGCTGTTCAAAATGCATATCCATAAATTATTACTTGAAAAATCATGAATTTAATTACTGGTATAGCCGCAAGCATTCAAAGTAAGTCCATGTTAATCTTTGGTGCACAAACAATAGGATGAAATGTTTGATTACGCATAATAGGCCTATAGTACTGTAACTCAGAAGGACTTGTTTTTTAAATGGACATCACAGGCTTAGCCAGCGAGCTGTCCGGCCGTCTTTTGGACAGCCTAAAGTTATTTAGGATGGCCACTTTTACTGTGACGGCTTCAACGGCTTGGCCTAATCAGCTCGGCCTAGCCTAATTGGGCCTGGTCTACCTTTAGCAAATTCTTTTTATTCTTCAATCTATCAAATGTTACAACAGTTACTTACATTAAACTGAAGCTAAATCAAATTTAAGTTTGATAAAAACAACATTTATTGATTGAATGTACGCTGTTTTCGTACCAATATTCGGTGGGGATTCCCAAAGATAGGCGTGGCCCCCTATCGGCTCAGTGTCACGCCCACTGGCTTCCATTTTGGACGGCCTATTTTGTTTTTCTGGCTAAACCCCTGATGGACATGAACTGGATTTTCGATGTTTTCCATTTGAAAATAACATTTTAATACTAATTAGGCTCTCTATTTAGAAGGATTTTTTGTAAATATATTGGGTTCATCTAAGGGATAGTAGACATTGGTGAAAATGATTATTATACAGTAAAATTTGCAAATGACGTCATTCCCTCTACACTGTCCTGTGGTGTTTTCTGGCAATAACTTTTTTAAATATGAATTTTTCAATTTTTAACTCTGAGAGTGTCATTCCCGGCCATCAGCTATGTACCATATCATAAATTTTCTTTTCTCCCTACAGTACGTCTGTGAAAGTCTTACTACAGTAGGACGTAACACTAGGTCTAGGACCAACTAATAGATGTGTAATGAGTATTGAAGCCGAATTTGATCCAACTCGGCCACAAGTCAACTCGGCCACAGTCAACTCGGCCACAAGTCAACTCGGCCACAAGACAACTCGGCCACAAAAAGTTTGGCTACAGTCAACTCGGCCACAAGTCATCTCGGCCACAAGTCAACTCGGCCACAAGTCATTTACTGGTACTACATTGTACTAATTGTTATTATTATTGCTGTATTGTTGTTTTTATTACCGTTAGTTTTAATAATTATTATTAGTCTTAGCATTAACATTATATATTGTTCAAATTTTTGCTGATATTATTATTATTACAGTACCATATAAATAATAAATAATTTTATTAGTATTTTTCTCATATTATTATTATTATTATTGTTGTTGTTGTTGTTGTTGTCACCTTTATTATCGATATTATTACCCTATTATTACTAAGTAGGCCTAGTATTATAAGTATCATTATTATTATTACTACTAATTAGTATTACTATTATTATAAAAATAAACATTATCTTTAATTTATTATTGTTGTATTATTGCTATTATCACCTTCAATATTGTTATTATCACTAATTAGTTATTAAAATTGATATTTAAATATCGTTATTATTACCATACTAGTATTATTACTATTTGTTAAAATAAATATTTCTATTAATGTTGTTGTTGTTATTATCACCTTTATTATCGTCATAATGACTAATTAGTATTATTAATGTAAATACATATTACTAATTTATTGTCGTTATTGTTGTTTAATATTATTGTTGAAGTAGAATGTTGTGAGTAAACAGAAGACGAACACATTAATAAATAACTCTTTTTAATTCATAGGCAATAGCATTCAAATCTCTTTTGGTAGTGTGGTGGTCCTGTTTTACTAAAACATACTGTGTACTTTATTTCAATCATATATTGAGGAAAAAGGATGCAAAAACTTAGATTTACATTAAATAACTTGTGGCCGAGTTGACTTGTGGCCGAGTTGATTTGTGGCCGAGTTGACTTGTGGCCGAGTTGACTTGTGGCCGAGTTGACTTGTGGCCGAGTTGGCTGTAGCCCAACTTTTTGTGGCCGAGTTGATTTGTGGCCGAGTTGATTTGTGGCCGAGTTGATTTGTGGCCGAGTTGACTTGTGCCCGAGTTGACTTGTGGCCGAGTTGACTGTGGCCGAGTTGACTTGTGGCCGAGTTGACCTGCACCCTTGAAGCCAAGCCTAAGAATAGCCTAAAAAACTCAAAAGGAGCCTGACCCCAAGCCTAGAATACAAACATTACTACAGCATCACCACGTAGGCCTAGGGCCTAGCCATGGTCATCATAGAATTCGCTTAGGCCTACCTGTGTATATATTATCTTCTTCTGTAATCATAGGCCTAGTCCTAGCTAGGCTATTATTATTACTATTAGTATAGGCCCTAGGCCTACCTCCTGTAGCCTAGGCCTAGCCTAGCTAGCCTAATTTTTATGACCCAGTTATTCTATAAATCGAATTGAAGTTATCTTATCAAAATAATATTATGATTTTATACCTTTCGTGAAACCCTATCCGCACAATAAAGTGTCAATAGATTTAAAGGATCGTACACTTGCAGTGAAGTTTTCAGCAGCTTATGTTGTCTCCACACAACATTTCTCAGAACAACCATTCATGATCATATGATTCGCGGCGGCCTACTGAAAGGTCAAAGTTTATATTTAGCGATAAATAAAACAGCGTGAGTTTTCATCAGAAAGGGTGAAGCATACGTTTGATTTCTTAAAAATTCTGTGTTTTAAAGGATGGTTTAAAATGTTTGCCTATTTAAGAGACGTCTTCAGACGCCACAGACGAAAGTTTATTTTCATTGGCGTCTTTTCAGCAGGTATACTGGCATGCATGCAAGAAGGCTAGGCTAGTCATAAAAAACTAGGCCTTCCAAAAAGACAAGGCTGCCAGATTAGATTTAATCCAGGACTTGGATAGCCTTTCCCAGGGGAGGTTGTGTACCTGTGTTAGGCGGTTTCAGAGATTTCACGTTAGACGAATTTGTAGGCACGAGACTATTCTTATGAAAACTCCTCCCTAACCAAGTTAGGTCCCGTCCGGGCAATAACACAACCCCTTCCACACCCCCGCGGGAAAATGCTTTTTCTAGATCTCTTGATCTTCAAATGCATTCTTTGCGACTTAGTATTATTATTCTTACAACTGAAACACTGATAAGAATCTGTTGTTTTTTTTCATGAGTTTATGCAAGGAGGTATTACACTAGACCTACCTATCTATGCGAACTGACATGTGCCACACACATGCCATGCCATGGTGGAAGCCCACGGGTGGCAACCCACACTGTAAAGTTTTTTAGTTTCGCAGATAATTTATATGTAAAGATTAGGTCAAAGCCTAATTTTCGGGAAAATCTCTGTGGAAATTGGCCCTTATTTTGCGAAATGCGTAGATGGATTTTTAGGATTTCTTGCGCGGAGGATATATTTCTCGTGCAGGCCTTGCTATACAGTCTGTATGGCATCTGCCAATGTGGATGTGTTCCTTGATGTTTTCAGCCAGTGATTTGTAGAACAATATATTCACTGTGTTTTAGTGCATCTACTTTGATTAGATCAAAAACCTAAACACCCATCAAAATTTATAAACTAAAAAAATACATATGATACCATTGAAAAAAAAATAATAATCAAAGGAAGGAAAATAGTGAAACAATTGTTTCATACACTACAGTAAAAAAAATGCCATATTTTTCACCTTGCGATTGTGGGCTGAAAACAGTCATCACAATCAACTAAAAAAATAGCCTGTCATACAGTAACATACTTTTTTAATATTAGTATATTAAGTTTTCAAATAGTTTCTTCTGGTTTGCTTATAATGATTGTAGAACTGTTTAATCAATGATAAATAAAGCACAATTTGATGTAAACTTACTGCGAGCATACATTTTTTTTTTGTTTTTTTTTTTCGTATTGGTGATCTTGTATACTGCTGTTCAGTGTTTCGTTGTTTTGGATTTATTGGTACAGTTTGCATTCAAATTTGAAACCAGTAAAATCGGGTAGTCTCAGGGTTTGGTCTCTAGATTTGGGTTAGATTTGTGTTAAAATGTTAAAGATTGTTAGTTGGTGTCCTTTGAAAACATGTATTTGTTAAATTTGCTTTAATTGTATTGTACCTACTTGTTCATATTATTGACTGAATAAAGAATGAATGAATGGCTCAGGAGGGTCTCGGAATTGGAGGGGGTTTTGAAGGGTGTATTATAAATGAATGAATTTTACTTTCTATATTCTTTATATTTTGAATAATGTTCTCTATGTTTTTCACTACAACTTAGCATCTGTGTTGTTGTGGAAGTATGCCCAGCGGAGGCTAAAGGAATGGCAAGAGAACGAGGCTGCGGAGTGTTTGGCATTTGCCAGGAGGCAGCATCACTTTGATAGCAATCAGAGGACGTGTAATATGACAGGTTGGTGAGAATTTCAATTCATTTGCTAACAGTAAGATAAGATAAGATACACTTTATTGCTCCAAGTCGGAAATTCAGTTCTCGCATTAAAGTACAGTAAAACAATTAAAAGAATGATCAAATATAATGAACTATAAAAATTACAATGTAAAAAAGATATCAAACAACGACCATTAAAACATGTACCGCTAGTTACTATTTATAGTCAATATGTTTGTAGTCAACACCATCTTCAGGCTCATTCACGGGGAAGGGGGTACACACCTATGTGTACACACCCTCCCCCCCCCCAAATTTCCAAAGGTCCACATTTTCCGGGATAGAAAATTCAAGACTTACTCCCGCACCTTCCAGAAGACCATCCACCACACCTCCTTGACCAATCAGAGCAGTTTCCAACTAAGATTGACTTTTATCTGTTATCTTTATGAAAAATTAATTACAGAGTTTAGAAAAATCATATTAGGGCTGAGAGTGCCATTTCTGGCCATCTAGAGGTGCCATAATCATAAATTTTCTTACCTCAGCCCCATCCATAGTGGGGCTGAGGTCGTATAGGTCGTCCATCTGTAAAAGTCCATCCCTCCCCCCCCCCCTTATTTCAAATTCCTGGATCCACCACTGAAAACCGCTTAATCTCTGTCCATATCCCTTTCCCCTAATTTATTTTTAAAAAAAAAGTGGGAAGAAAGAAAATGATATTAAGTCTGAGAGTGCCATCTAGAGGGTCCATAATCATAAATTTTCTTACCTCAGCCCCAACCATGGTGTGGCTGAGGTGGTGAATCGACTCTCCATCTGTGTATGTCCCCTGGGCCCCCTCTATTTTATAATTCTTAGATCCGCCTCCGAAAACCGTTTAATACTGTTCATATTGCATATTCACGTTCATGTAAGACCTCAAATTTTCTAAAATGTCTGAGCTCCATCCCTTTCCAATTGACACCAACAGGGCTGTGCCCCTGCCCCCTCCCCACCAATACAAATCTTGTGTACTGTATGGCCTGCTCTTGCCTGTTTCTAACTTACATACTGTTGTACCCCATTTTACAGAAACTCCAAAATTCTGCCTTGTTATCATCATCATATTGTTGTTCATATTCATCATGTATTACATATTGTCACCAACATCGTCATAACCAGATCAATTGCTGTATACAGTAGTTTACATCGTTATCAAAATTATTGTTATCATTGTCATCAGAATTTCGTTACCATGCAATATTGTCATCATTATTATCCCCAGCATCATTGTTATCCTCATCATCATTTTCTTTGTCAATCATCATTGTCATCGACATCATTGTCATTCTCATCATCATTTAATATCATCATCATTTTAATCATCAATATCATCATCATTCATCATCATTTTCATAATAAATTCTCAGGAGCATCATAAAGATTCATATTGTAGAAAAGTGTACCATTTTAGTCTGAACATGTTTGTATGAAGCTTGATCCTACATCACACATTTTTGTCTAACATTGCAATTTCTATGATGCAGTCAATAAACCTAAATGCTTGCTTATTCACAGTTCTGGCGATGCTTCCTACAATTAGACAGTCTCTCACTAAAATACTAGATTCAGATGACTTAACACAGCAGCTTAAAAACAGGTTTGTATATATTTTAGAATATTTTATGTTATTACTTTTAGAATACCTGTGACTAACCACTACCTCTGGTACTCCCATTGATAGAGTACAACAGTCGTGTTGTCACAATTCCAGGTGGTTACCGCTTGACGTTGGTTATCGTTCATTACGCCTGAATGACTTCGTAATCTTAGTGGTTTAGAATAGGCTTTCTGGAATAAGCATTTTAAAACCTAATAATTTACCAAAGTTACTAAAAACACAAAAGCTCACTTTATATTAGTTATCGAACATACATTTAATCAATTAAAATTTACAAAGAAAAAATAAGATACAACATCTTAATAATTAGGTTAGAAATTGGGATCAGTTTTTTGTCAGTGGGGAAAGTGGCGTCCGGTTGAACAAATTTTGTGTCGCCGATAGCAACAGAGTAGTATCACTTGGTAACGTGACGTAACACTGTAGTACTCTGTATGGAATGAAGTTCAATAGTTTTTTATGAGTGTAAAGCAAGCAAAGAGACTTACAACGTGTCACTTGCTTCAGACGGATCATAGACTCGTTGATGTGGCAGCTGCAGATATACAAGTGTAAGCCTAACTCTACTTGTTTTTGTAATTTTAATCAAAATGTATTTGATCTTACAGGCCTGCAAATAAACTTGAAATATGGGAGCAATTAAAGATAATAAGTGAGTATATAAAATCTGGCCATTTTTGATAATTGATTTATAACACATGCCTTTCAACATTTGATGTATTCTATGTGAAATACAATGTATGACATATTTTTCATTTGCATCTTTTTGTATTGTATTACCCTGATTTTTTTAGGTTTTAGCCGTCCAATTGCTGCTGTGTATAGCTTGTGTATGGTTATAGTGTACTTGCGAGTTCAGTTAAATGTCCTTGGTGGGTATATGTATTTGGACAGTTTCCACGGTAACAATGGCACAGTAAGTTTATAATATTTCTTCTATCTAATATTAAATATATGTGAAATGTGATAGGTTATAATTGTCAATACATTCTAAACTTTTTATTCACCCAATAGCTCAGTTCACACTTAATCAAGTTTTGTTGTTCCAGTAAAAGGTTAAAGATTATGCATTTATACCACGCAAAATACGAGGGTTTCTATGAGCAAAAAAAAGTGAACAGATGAAATTGGAAAAACATGCAGAAGAAGAACTCCAAGCCAGCACCTTAATCACAGTATCGGGATAAGCGCCAGTTGAGTCTCGGCCATGCCAGGACTCAGGTGCTTCCTATCCTGGTAGAAGAAGAAATTATCTTTGATTTTTCCCATGTATGGGCATGTGGTGATATCATATTACAGCAAAATACTATACTTGTCATGTAAAACATGATAGTAATCCACAGCCAGTTGTTGCAGGAATAGTTCAGTGTATTTATATTTTTTGAATGCCATGAGGCAAGACTTTTTTTATAACTTGTTTAGCGAATCCACCGACTGCAGATATTGATGATTTCGAATAAAAATAAAATTTTATTTTTTGCCATTTAGCGCACCCGTCTCCGCGAACAATTGGAAATTTCAGAAAAGTGTTTTTTTAATTTTATTAAGCCCTCTGCTTCCTTGAAATCTCCAATTTAAGATATGTATATTTCTTCCTAATTATGTAAATTTGAAGCATTTAACCATCCTATTTTACATTCACTATATAAATTTTATTTTTATTTTCTCCTCAATCTGGATGATTTTGGAAAAATTATTTGCTAAATATAAAGAAAACAAAATAATATTTTTATTTTTATTCTGCCCTCCTCCGATAATAAAAAAAAAATAAGTATGCGAAACAAGGAATAAAAAATGTCTTGCCTGATGATGAAATTGCCTGTTCGATATTCTCTCTATGAAGTTTCACATAGTAATGTAATGTTATGTAGTTAGATTCATATAGTGCTTTATACCGCAACAGTCTCAAAGCACTCAAGATGTAGTCTATCTCTTAATACATAGGCGTACAGGGCTTGCTTTAAATTTTATGTGTTCCGAGAAAGAAATCCACTCTTACAGAATTCTTTATTAGCAATTGTAGTCTAACTACAATATAACTTTCAAAAACTTTAAAATGATGTCATGTTTCTATTTTTAACCACAGATTCATGGCCAATCGCAGGCCACGCCTGAAATACAGAAGCAGTACCTAGCAACCATTCAATATTTGATGGGAAATGGTAATTTTCCAAGATTAATTTAACATGTCCATGGCTACATGCAGTCCTGAATTAAACCGTAAATCATTGAATAAGCATCGCAGTGCTTATAACATTTTTGGAGGCTTAGTGCAGTGACTATTTGATTAACACATATTGATGAAGCGTTTTCCATGCCCGTTCCTAAGGTTACCAATCTCACATATTTCCGTAGTTCTGTAGGCCCTACATAGTAAATAAATGTTTTTAAAGATGTGCTTGTATCTTCATTGTGTTTTTAATTCATTTGAACACTGTATATATTGTATTTAAAACCCTGTTTCTCAAATTGTTTATTACACACACAGTAATATGCACTCACGATTTGGCGGCACGGCGCTTTTTTGAGAGAGATGCTTATTCGAAGACTTACGGAACTTGTGCATGCAAGCATCCAGTAGAGAATTGAATAATTTAGTTTAGGAATCTATTTTGAACTTCTTTTTCATTTATATTTTCATGTAAAACTAATTTCTGATTGTTAAGATATTTATTATTTCTGTAAATATTTTTCAGGTTTGAAGGACATAGTTGAGGCTACTAAGAACGCAGTGGAAGAATGTATTGGAAAGTAATAACTTGTCTTCTTCTACTCTAGGCCTACTTCTTCATCATCCATTTATTAGCAAACTTCAAGGTCAAAGGCTTCTGCTGCTCTTGCTCTAGCTTTAATTACATTTAAATTGTAATTGCAATGATGCCTAGATTTACAAGTGTCTTATTACTTACTCTCGACATTAACGTTGTAACATAAACAGTTCATTAATTTTATGATGGAAATATATATTAAAGCAGTTCAAAAATGTATATGTTTATAACATTCAATATAAACATTCTTGATTAACAATAAATAATAATCATGATAATTTAAATATATACTGCTTAATTCTGTTTCGGGAGGCTTATTACATTAGCTTATAAAGTATGCGTGCATATGGTTCTGACCCCCTAAATTGTACTTCCTGTTAATGTAAATGAAAATTGTTTAAAATAAATTAAAATAAATTTGGTCTATTGTAGAATGTCACTGAAAAAGAGCTTCCAGCTGCAGGATCTTGAGCATTTGCTGGGTAAAATCAGGAGGAAACTGGAAGTTTGGGACAATTCTGGTAAGTTGCACTCCAAAATTGTGTCTTGTACTTGCAAATTGTGGAGGCGGTTTGGCGCAATGTGAAATGGTTTGGTTCTCAACCTCGAGGCTGCGGTGTCAATGTTTCGCTGCATTTTGCATGTGTCCTTGAGCAAGGCACTATAACTACATTGCTTCAGTCCACCCCGCTGTATTTGGGTATCAACAAATTGCTGGGAGTAATCTGTGGTGGATCAGCATCCCACCCAGGGGGAGCATTGCGCTCTCATTCACTTCACGCTACTTGAAACTGGGGATAAGCCTTAGCCCATATGAGCCCCATGGCTTGGCAAGGATACATATTTTTTTAACTGGCAAACTGTTCTTTGAAAACATTTCATTGTTGCTGGAATCTCTTTGATACGGGTCATAGTAGCCATTCTTGGCTTTTTACATTGTATATGGTCATTTAGGAATGGAGTTGAATAGATTGGTGGTTAAGGTGCTTGCCTTCCAATACCATTGTCCTTGGTTCAATTCCTTCCATGGTAACAGGATTTTTTTCTCACAACCAAAAAACAACTCTATTCCCTTTTAATTCCTGTCCAGAATCTCAAATTTTATTTGACAAAAACATGTGACATGCCTAAATATGGTCATGATGACATCACACCATGACCATATGTAGCATATCATGACTATATATGGGCATACAACAGCTTTTTGTCAAAGGAAATTTGATAGTGTAGACAAAGCTTTGGCCTCATATAATTATTGTGACTAAGGGATTGTCACTTGAAAACCGTGAAAGTGATTAAAGTTTGCTAGTTGTCATATCCTTGCCTGTTGTGCCTAAATATAAACGGTATAGTTAATATGTTTTTCTAAATTATTCTTAAATTTTCTTGGCAGATTTTTCTAATGGTAGTACAAGTTTAACAAAATACTTCCTACCTCCGGAGGAGAATGGTGGCCTAAATGAGGAAGAACTCAATGCAAAGTGGGTTGAGCTTCAGTCAGAGGAAGAAACTACAATTGTAGATGAGGCTTATATATCTCAGAATCAAGTAATGTTGCACAGACTCTCACAGGAAACAAGAGATATGATTGAAAGGTAAAGGTTATTGACAAGTACATACGTGGGGGTGGGGTTTTGAAATTTCCCCCTCCCCCCTTTTCCAGGAATGTTCATTTAGATTTAGTAAAAAGTACCATTTGCATGGAAGTTGTTGAAAATCTAAAATTTGGCTTTTTCGCCTTGTATTTGAGAGTCATTTCATGGGGGAAGACCTAAATCTGGGGGAAGACTTAAAGCTAGGGGAAGACTTAAAGCTAGGGGACTTGACATTCCCCCTGCCTTGTTTTCCACTTTATTTTCACGGAAATTGGCAGACTTATTTTTAATATGCGTGGATGGAATTTTTTCTTTATGAGATAACTCTAAATCAATTTACACATAATAATTTCAACCTAAACAGAGTTCCAGAGTTTTCACCAACATTTCGGTACTTACCAATACCAATGCCTTGTATTGAAATAAGGAAAAATAGAATAGGCCTACAAATATTAAATGTATTTGACAGTTATGCAACTAATGCTGTGGTTAGCACTCCCCACTCTTTATCGCCTGGTAGATCTGTCCATGGAGGTACCTACATGGTCTGTCCGCAATAAATGAACAAAGATTTAACTGAAATTAAAGTGTTATAGTGGATAAAAAGCCTTGCAGAAGCCAACACAGAACTTAGTTTAGAAAACTTTTAACATTTAAAGTGATAGTACGCTTTATCCAAAGGTGACGGAACCAAGGGGTGCTGCGTTATGGAGAGTAATGTGTGACCGGTAATGGTTTGCAGTCAGTTGGTTGTTACCATGCACCAGTGATGTTGGAGTACAGCAACATGAAACTAATTATGTAATGCATGAATGAAGTTCGGGGTTTATCGGGTAGTGAAATGATTATTGTACATTTTAAGTGTTACAGTTACTCCATGCATAAGTGTAAGCTAAATTATGGTGATTGATTAGTGAAGATATGGAGACAATTATTTTGTAAGTACGGTGCTCATGAGCCAAGAGGGGATGCAAATGCTCTGTGAAAATGAGTATGCCGCGGTACTCATTTTCACAAAGGAATACATGCAGCTGGTTAGCTAACAATATGCAAATGTTACATGAACACCTGGGAAGGAAGGTGCAATATCACATTCTGTTGCCTAGCATACATCTGTACTTTAGCGTGGGGGTGGGGGAACGGTAAGAAGTTGGTTAGCCAACAATATGCAGATGTTACACGAAAACCTGGGAAGGATGGCACATCACATTCTGTTGCCTAGCCTACTGATGTACTGTGTAGTGTGGGAAGGTGAGGCTATTTATTAGTAAGACTAGGCTTAAGTAGACCGTGCAATTATATATGATAGAAAGTACACTTTCGAAAGAAATATATTAAAATTAAAAAAAAAATTAAATAAGAATAATTCAATTGTAGACATACCTTGATTAAGTATTATACAGTACAATAAACAATGTGGTTCTTGTAGCCCTAGCTAGGCAAGGCATCCATGTGCAAAGCAGTGGTGTTTATCCATGAAAAAAGCACGCCGGGAAAATTTGCCTTACCAGGAAAAGGTGACGTAATCTTAGGACGTATGCATGTTAACTATATTGTGAGTGTGACGTTGCCAAAAAATAAAAATTTTCTATTGTAACAAAAATATTAATAACTACAAGGTTTGTGGGCTTAAATTCCATAATACGAATTAAGGATAGCACCATCTCCTTGCCATACAAATTACAGCTTCCACTGATATCTCAATCGAGAAATACAGGTAGCAAATCTGACTACAGAACCAAATCCAAATTTCACGTTCCACTTCTGACTTTGAGATGTGCTTCGCACACGCTGCTAAGGGCGGCTTTCTGGGAACCCTGCGTCAGAGCATGATAACTTATTAAAAAATGCTTCAAGCTTTATTAATTTGTAGACCCATTTCCAAGTGTAATGCAAAGCATATTGCATCCTGATTATTCATAAATCATATTTTATTACTTATTGTTTATCATTCACAGTAATAAAGTTTTACAGTATTTCCAAATATATGCAAAATGTAAATATAGCCACTGATATTTATTGTATTATTATGTATTCGTGTTCCTTGCAGTTAATGGAGGCATATCAAATCATCTAGTTATGGCACTGATAACAAATTGAATTTTGATCATGTTATAATTTTGCGGAAGTCCTACATTGATTTTGAAATATTTTAGTGCCCACTTCTCCCCCACCCTCCCCACAACCACTCTTACTTTAAAGCCTGGAAAACTTGCAAAATGCTTCCGATGGCTATGCAATAATGATGTAAAGTATGCACTGTGCCACCAATAGTAATAAAAATACCAGGGGTCACAAGTCTCCCAAAAGTTTGGGGGAGTATCCTGAAAATTGGGACGGTCACCCACACTCTTGCAAGCAAGCAAAAATCTACCGAAAAATAACACACCTCCTGCAAATTTGTAATACTTGCATTTTTTTACTACTGTATTATCATTTGTGTCTGAGAAGTCAGTGCCATTGAGTGTCACAACTAAAGTTATATGTGTTAAAGAAAGCTCATTTGAATAGATCTTTTGATCATTTGAATAGGATGGTTTAACAGAAGCATGTTATCTTTTAATTTTTTTCTGCATGTGATATCTGCCCTTACTTGCTATGTTAATTGCATTTATTCATCTGCGGTATCCTTTTGCGTTTAGTGCTGATTTTTGCCAAGTATTGAACACCTGTTTGGACACTGCCTTCACACGGCTGATGGATAACATTGCCTGTAGTTTTAAACCAAAACCAGAACAGACACATTTTGATGTTCTTTCAATAAGGTTAGTTCACAAAACACTCTATTATTTCTAAATTAGTTATTTATTTAAATTTCATCCAACAGCAGGCTTATATTTTTGAATTTTTCTTTTTGCTTAATCCAGTTGTCAATTTTTTAAAAGTAGGTTTCATTTTTAACTTATCGACATGACACGTTTCGCCTACTTTTCTTACCAAAATTTAACAAATGGATTAACCAAAAAGAAAAAAATAATGAATATTCTGTTGAATCCAAAAAGTATTTAATTTTGCAAGAAAAATATAGATTTCTTTCTTCAAAATGTTATTGCAGTAGCGGTTGTAATTAAAATTAAGAAGTTATTTTATATGTTCTTTAATAGTAAAAACTAATTAAAAAAACTCTTTTTTGAATCTACATTAACATATTGGTTGATGTTAAAAATGTTTCAATATCTGTGTCTTATTAAATTTCTTTTTGTTTTTGTAAATTCTGTATTTTGATCAAAGTCCTTGCGACACAAGTTTACCACTAGCTAAGTTGATTCCTGTAATGAATGGACAAGTTCACTTTATCTGCGGGGATAGTCCTAACCACTTTGTACAGGTAAGGTATTAGCGAGCTTCTGTTACCTCGATGTGGAACAAGCGACCAAAAAAAGCGTAAGGTGTTTTGTATGACGTCCCCAGGTTAGGCTTGTACATACTCGTAAACCAAGATTCAGCTGCTGGATCCCGAGCAATAAATCAAGATTCAGAAATTGATTGTATTTGCTACATTTTAATGAATGGTTATTCATATCAAATCATTATGATATTACATTGAGGAAATCATCAATTAGTCTTCAAAAATGTTCGCGTAGTCAGTCTTTTTTGTCCTACAATATGCCATCGCCATTCTTTCTCATTTACTCAGTCGTGTCACCACGGCCCATGTAGGTGCAAGTTCATACAAAATTCAAATTCAGGAACATAACAATGAGATAATGAAAGCTTAACATTTTTATTGTGTGCAAATACAGTACTTAAATAGGAACAAGAAATTTTCTTGGAAAAACAATTCTCAAATGACATAGCAAAAGCTCTCTAATACACAGTAATTTACAGTGAAATAAAAAAATGAATATTTTTGCTAAATTATAGTGTACTTTAATCTCCATTCAGTTAAGACTCTGAATATATGAATACATAATTACTTTGAATTATTTATATGCCTTACGCTTATTTATAAATATTGATTGAACGAATATGACTGACTGAGTCCTAATGATAAAATGAGTAAATTTGAATTTTACTTCAAAGAAAGATAATTTATTTATGTAATATATAATGTATTTCTAGATTCATCGATTGCTTAAAGATATTGAATATTTACCAGTAGTCTAAAGGTACTGCCTGGTGCCAGTTTTGCATGTATAATGTTTAGATTTTTAATTTAATGCAATTTAAATGTGTGATATACTCATTCAATCAATTTTGATGTATACGCTTCTGGGACTGCTGATCAGCCATTGTTGTTTTTCTCTGTTTTCCAGGAGCTTTTGTTAATGGAATGTGTGAAAGATTTTGCTGCTAATGTATACGAAGCTTTCAGCCAATCAGAACACACAGCAATACCATGAAGCCATTAGCCAATCAGAGCACTCCACAATGTGAAATTCTATGATATATGTACCCAAAATTCTGGTATTTTTGAAAGATTATATTTGATGTACATATCATGCATTTACAGTGATACACAGTGATGTATTCCCTAAGTGTACATTAAAAATGGCTATGTATTGTATCATAACTAATCAGTGATGACAAGCTTAGCATGATTACATTTTGTAAAAGCATGAATAATTGATTGCAAGCTCAGTATAATTATCCCCTGTCCGCACAATGGCACATATTGGCGCTAAAACCAGGCGCGTAGTCAGTGGCGTCGAGAGGGGGAAGGGGTCGCTGCCCGGGGCCTGGGTCTACTGGGGGGCCCGGACCAAGATGAACAATTTTCGGGGTAAGAACAAAATCTCCATAGGGCCCGAGCCCAAGCCAGGATGAAAACTTTGTTGTCAGATTTAGGAGGAGACTTAATTTGGCGAGCGGCCGAGTGGGGGTCCCAAGTGAAGGGGGGCCCCATGTGAGGTGTTGCCCCGGGGCCCGTACTGGCTCTTGACGCCACTGAACATAAGTAAATACTGATGACATCACAGTATACTGATGTACAGTTAAGCGAATTATGATGACATCAGAGCACATGAATGCTGTATGCAATTCATGATAAACGAATGACATCATATCACAGTGGGTGTTGTGGATATTATAGCAAATAATGAATGACACCACATTTTGTGGATGTTGCATTTAATAGATAATAAAGCGAATAATGGTTTGTTTACAAAATACTGACAGATGTTGCTTGTATTTTAACTTATAAGGGAGTAAAAACATCACACCACAACTTCAATTTTGTTTTCATGAACGCGCACCTTTGAAAACTGTGCCATTATAACGACTGTCAGCTGTAGATTTTTTGCTGACTTACCAAGCAGCTTGTGAAGAGTTTTTAACTAGATTAGGTGTCAACAACAATCTGAGTTGTGGAGTTCACTGAATTTTAGGAAGTGCCATTGTTTATTGGTGGGGGGGGGGGAGATGGGAAACATTGAATTGGAATTATGCCAATTAAAATTATTTCAGAATCTGAGAGGAATATGCCAAACTGAAAAATAAAAGCGATGGCCAGAAAACTCAAAATCTCCTTAGAATTTTCTCAAAAGCCATAGTATAATGTGGGTAACTATGATATTACTAAATTGTCATACAGTCAGTTCCATAAATTTGGTTTATAAATAATTACTGGTATATGTAGCTGGTTCTTTAGTCTTAATGAATTTTTCAGTAAACATTTATTTTTCGGGAATAAAGGAGGTGTTAGATTTGCCTCCAGAGTTTCAGACATTGTTCTAAGCATGTATTAATCGACATGATTTGTATTTTATGTGTGAACAAATATAGTGATTTTTAACATAATGATAGTGTGATTGTTTTGTTTGTTTATATTTGATAAAATGCAAATGAATGATTTTTCTCCCATATTACTAAGGTAATGTTTAACTTTTGCTTTTTCTATGATGATAATTTTCCTTCTTGACTAAAGCCTTGTACAAACTCACATTTTATTTGAAAAATATGTGCCATATCTAATTATGGTCATGATGATGATATAATGATTATGGCATTCTCAGACTTGCATTTTAACGTAATATCCTTTTTCCCCATTTATTATTTTTTATAATTTTGAAAAAAATTAGAGTGTCGGGTCGACAGGGGTCCACTTGAATTACGCCACTGAATTGAAATCATCAGATTAATCAATAATTACTCCTGTAAAACCGAATATAATTGAGGGGCCAGCTGGCGTTTTTGTCTTCAAAAATATTATGGAAATTATTTTAATAATTAATTTTAAGTCTATTTATGAATGGGCCCTGGGCCCCAGTGCTTTGTACTGGCTGCACACTGCTCGTAGCTACGCCACTGAACATATGTGGGGTGCGGGAAGCACACTCCTTACCAACCCCCCCCCCCCCCCCCCCGTTTTCTTTCCCACAGGAAATTTTTTAAGCAAACAAATTGAAATTAACACAAATATGCATTGGAGTTTACACAAAACGAATTGGAGATTAAATCATTTCTTGTTCTATTTTTTCTTTGACAGTTAATTTTCAAGATTACTAGATTTACATTGAGATATATCTTTAAACTAAAAAATAGCAGCTAATGCTTTTTTTTTTAAAACTTTGATGCAGATTGTTCTTAATGGCTTGAGCAATAAATCTAGATTTAAATTAAATTGTACAGAAAAACAAGTGCCACTTAACAAATTGAACACGAAATCGTCATAATGCACTCTTAACATGTTGTTACTGCATTTCTGATCTCTCGAAGTCCGCGTTGAAACTCTTCGAACGATATACAATATATAAATGGATTGATGGTTAGGTTAGAAGCAGTCAACAATTCAGTTACCCTATGAGAAATCGAGTTAAGCTCAAAACATTTGCACACTTTATGCACTAAAACATAAATATAGTTCGGTCCGATTGTTACGAGAAACGCAACTGTGACCTGCATAAGGGTGACCAGTAAATTAATCTTCGCCCTTATTAACAGGCCATTTTTTCTGGCCTGTGATTTTGTTGTCAAATCCTTACCAACAGTTGGCGATCTATGTAGTTTCCACAGAATGGTTCCATAGCAGTATCCCATGATAATGGTTGGTATTAGCCAGTTCACAAACAGTGAAACAGTTGCCGAGGGAATATCCGCAGATGTCACTTTATAACGACATACTCCTTGATATATCTCAGTTGTTATAAACAGATGAACGCCTATAAGCAATCCTGCTAAATGTGGAAGTATTAGAGAGAGTACAATACTGTTCTGCTTAAAGATCTCAGGCGGTAAATAATTGGATGCACGACTGCAACGTAACGGTCAACTGTAAGCATGACAAGGTTGTAAGTCGATACTACTGTCGTGTACCAAAAAAGACTTCGAAATTTACAGAATATGATCCCGTCAGTGCCAGAAGGAGCGTCATTGCTGTAGAAGATCAAGAACATCAAAGAGCCAATCATGTCAATGAAGGTCTGATGGAGAAGTAACTTTAGCGACAGAGACTTCTTGTAAATTCCATTGTAAAGGAACACAAATATGACGACGAAGTTCGCAACGATACCAACACCAGACACTAACCAACGAGCTGTGTACAGCACCAGTGTGTCTACCAGACCACCATCAACGGTTCCTGAATCATTCATAACAATTAGCTGACATCTGCTTGTAACAGTAACAATAATCAATATATTGGAAAATTTGAAGTTCTGAGTTATAATTTCGTAGTAGGCCTACAATGCGGTTCAAGTACATATAATTTATCTGTTGTTTTTCTTTACGAGCGCCTTCGTCAATTGAATGGAAATTAGAGTGACTGCGCATTGTATACTTGTTAGATTAAGATTGACGCGTGTAATCAGTTGGTTGCAGCGTGACCACTCACAATTTTTGATAAACCCAAAGACTGGGTCGAAATTACCCAAGATTCAGCTAAATTTGCCCAAAATTACCCAAGCTTCCTGAAAATACATTAAAATTTGAAAAATACGTGTTTTTCGCACGTATAGTTTCCCTTTTAGTTCAATTTATAAACCATTTTTTAGTGTAATTGTTTGTGTTAATTATTAAAATTAATATTTATGAGGTAATAATACGGATAGAAAAATACGCCCTCAGTCGGCCATTGTTATCAGTGTAGATCAGTGATCAACTTTTATTATGTAATGCATTAATTAGGTAAGATCAGTGGCAATGCAAATCAAAATAAACAATTCTGAACCCATGTTTAACAGTCAATTAACAATGCTATGTGCACTTCGTTGAGTTTTGTTTACTTGAATGGACTGAAATATACTTTGTTACTTCTTAATTCTTCCTCTATAACAAAAATATTTAATTTTCTTAGTAAAAATAAAATACCCAAGGATTTGAACGGAATACCCAAGAACCCAAGACCAAGTCAAAATACCCAAGATCTTGGGTAAATACCCAAGCAGTGGTCACGCTGGTTGGTTGAAGTACCAGTTTGATGAAGTCGGCGGATATTAAACAGATACTTAGGCCTGCATTGTATGATATTCAAGGTTATTATAATTCATCTTCATTGCATCCGTATTGTTGTATAATTGCTTGCCGCTTATCTGAACAGGCACCCCAGTTTATCACAATCGTAGACTACAACTGTACATTCAAATCAGTTTGCATTTGTTTTCTAAGAACTTTGATATAGCAATTAATTATTATTAATTCGTCTACATGTTACTTGTCAATGAATGAACTATGTTTTTCAAGGTCGTTATTATTTGTTTTCTTCATAATTACCCCTATTCATTAACTCGATCGTTCGTTTATTATTCATTCATTCGTCCGTCAATACAAACTTTTGTTTATTCGTTCACTTCGTTCGTTTGCTCCTTTCACAACGTACAGCTGTAATCGCCGCTGGTTAGAACGGCACTCCTGTGTATGGTGGTATAGTTGTGTAACTATTCAATTCAAATTTATTTCAACTGAAAATGCATCACAGGGGCGGATCCATAGATGTCCAAAAGGGAGTTGAGACAACACGGTCCTAGGGGGTCCAGGGGCATGCCCCCGCGAAATTTTTGTGTTCTAGACGCCCGAAAATAACATTTGAGGCATTCTGGGCAGGGGCGGATCCAGCCTGCCAGAAAAAAAAGGGGGGGGGGCGCAATCTGCGAGCGAAGCGAGTAGCCTTAGGCTGGGGGAAAGGGGGCCGCCTAACTCCCCCGGCGGGGCCCAGGGGCAGAGCACCTGGTGGGGGCCCAAGGGGGCGGGGGCACAAGGGGGGTGAAGCCCCTTGAAGCCCAGCACATTTGAGAAATATGAGGTTGTATTGAGTCGATTTTGACTATCTAGCATGGTAGTTTCAGTAACAAATAAATTTTAAAAAAAATAGGTGAATGTCTTTTAAAAGAAATTTTAATATACAGGGTACCTGCAATATGCAACTATGAAATGTGTCATTAAATTAATAATTATTCATCAACTCACAGCTGTGGGTTTTAGTGCCTCTTCCACGAACATCTCAAACATAATCTTTGACAACATGCAAAGGCTCATAAATGTACATCATTTCAAAAGGGAAATTTCACTTCTAGAAAACATGAAGTTTCTTAGCAACATCGAGCATAAAAATCACAAATAAAAAAAAAATTAAAAAAAATTATATAAAGCGGGGGGGGGGGGCCCCCTAAATCTGCCCCTACGGGACTATCATTTTCTTTTTTCCCTTTTTTTTTA